GAAGTTATATCCAAAAATGTAGCCAAAGTGCTGTATTTATGTATGAATCCTAGATAGATATCATTTACTAGTATCGTTAGGGGTTCTAAGGAAGATCTTCCCTTTCTAAAAGCATATTGTGAGTCAGGTAATATTTTTTCATTTTCTAGCCAATATTCAAGCCTGTTCTTTATCATTCTTTCCATGGTTTTAAATATACACGATGATAAAGCTATGGGTCGATATGAATCTGCATTTCCGTTCCGTTTTCCAGGTTTTTTGATAGGTACTACGATGTATTCTTTCCACATTGGTGGAAAAGGAATCTTATTTATCCAAATCGAATTGAATAGTTCTAACAGGGCTTTCTTATGGCCTAAGGGCATTTTATGCAACATATTGTATGAAATGTTATCCGCCCCGGGAGATTTATTATTTGTTGATTTAATGCATTGATCGAGTTCCCATAATTGAAATAGTGATTGTAGAAAGGAGGTGTTTCTATTTACGGTAGATATTTGTTGAGTAATGTTGTTTTCAACCCGTGGGGGCGAGATTTTTGTATGGAATTCGTTTATCCAGTCTTCTTTGGGGTCTATTGGTGGTTTATTTACTTGTTTTCGGTTTTTATATCGGTTTACTTTGTTCCACACTTCTTTAATTGGTGTATTTTGACCCTATTACTTAACAATATAACTATTTATGTGTTAGTTGTCCTTAAAGTATCAAAAACACCAACGGAAAATATATGTTACCTATAATTTCAATGTTATTATATATATAGTTCAGCTCAACAGGCCTCAAAGGCCCAAGGCTTCAACGGTTTTCTTCCATTTCTTTCTATCTTGTGCTAAGTTTTTCCAATCTTGTACCCGCAGCGACTTCAGATCTTCTTTTGCCGACTCCAGCCATTTTCTTCGGGGGCGGCCTCTTTTTCTTTTTGTACCAGCCTCCGTGTTTATTAATTCATTGGGAACTCTTCCTTCCTTCATTCTTGCTATATGCCCGAGCCATCTTAATCTTTGAATTTTCGCGAGTCTTGTTATTTTTGGTTGTCCATATATTTGCATTATTTCTTCATTCGTTCTTCTTCGCCAGATGTTCCTCTCTTTTGCACTTCCGTATATCCTTCTAAGAATTTTTCGTTCCCATCTATCTAATTTTACTTCCATATCTTTATTTAGTGTCCAGGTCTCGCTAGCATAGAGTACTGTAGGTCGGATAACTGTTGTATATATTCGTTTTTTTGCTGTTCTGGATATTATCTTCGACCTCAGTATCTTAGTCAGGCTCCCAGCACTCTTACTACCTTTGGCCATTCTTTTTATGATTTCTTGGTTCTCTTCGTTCCTATTTGTTAGTGTCACTCCCAAGTAGTCGAATTGGCTAACAACTTCAAAGTTATATTCTTTACTTGGGCTTTGTACCTTAAAGGACTCTCCTAGATGATTTTCGTTTCCCCTCATCACCATATATTTTGTTTTTTCTTCGTTTATTTCTAAACCATATTCTCTGGCTATTCTCTCTATTCTAATAAAGATTTCTCTTAATTCTGCAGGTCTCCTTGTTATTAAGGTAACATCATCTGCATATGCTACACATTGATGTCTGTGATGATATATTGTGCCTCTAGTGTAGATGTTACATTCTCGTAAAATCTTCTCTAAGATCAAATTGAAAAAATCTGTTGATAACGGATCACCTTGTCGCAGACCTCTATTGGTGATAAAACTATCCGAAACCCGTCCTTCTAACATGACTTTACTTTTAGTATCATTGAGTATGCATTTAGTCAGTCTTACTATTTTTGGTGGAAATTCAAAATATTCTAGTGCTTCATATACTTTATTTCTTTTTATAGTATCATATGCCATTCTAAAATCAATAAACAGCATGTGTACTGTTAGGTTGAATTCATATGAGCTAGCTAAAATTTGTTTCATTGTAAAAATTTGGTCAGTTACCGATCTGTTTGCTCTGAAACCTGCTTGATATTCACCTAGACAATTTTCAACTTTTGTTTTAATTTTATTTCTAATTGATATGGCCAAAATCTTATACACTGTATCTTGTAGAGCTATTTCCCTGTAATTTTTACATTCTGTAACGTCTCCTTTTTTATGCACTGGACATAAGACTGCTTCTTTCCACTGATTGGGTATTTTTTCTTTGATCCACACTTCGCGTATTAACTCAGCGATTTCTTCTTGTACCATTTCGCCACCTTCTTTTAAAAACTCAGCAATGATACCATTTTCACCAGGTGCTTTGTTGTTTTTTAAGTTTTTTATGATCTCTATAATTTCTTCCTTGGTAGGTACTTCTTCATTTACATCTGTGTCCCTTACTTCATGTTGTAGTTGCGTTTGTTCTCTTTCATCTTGGTCTTCCGTACATAATAATATGTTCTCAAAATAACTGGCCCACCTTCTTAATTTTTCATCTGTTCCACCTAACAGATTCCCCTCTTCATCTTTATAATATCTTGATGTGGTTTTGTACTGGGTTCGGTCTCGTTTTATTTCTTGGTAGAAATTCCTGACTTGTTTATGTAAAAAATCTTCTTCAATACGAACTAGTTTCTGCTCTAAACTTGAACGCTTCTTCCTTCTACAGATCTTCTTTGCTTCCCGTCTTTTTTCGGCATAAGCTTTTTTACTCTCTTCATTATTTCTTATTATGCTATTTATTCTAGCTTTATTTCTGTCACTAATGGCTTTCTTACAATCCTCATCATACCAATCCGTTTGTTTACATTGTCTGTTTCTGGATAATACTGAGTCGGCTGCTTCTTGAATTTTTTCTTCTAGTTGTACCCATCTGCTTTCTATATCATTTACTGTTGTCTGCCTTTTCAGTTTCTCTTCAATTTGCTGCCTGAATTTTTTCCTAACTTCTCCCTCCTGAAGTAGTGCATCGTTATATCTTTTTATTTTTTTACAACTAGTGGTATTAATTGTGGGTATTATTTGCTCCATTTTAATTTTGACCAAAAAGTGGTCCGAATTTGCATCAGCACCTCTGTAACTTCGGCTATCTTTTATGGTTCTCATATGTTTGGCTTCTATTAGGAAATGATCTATTTGGTTTACTGTTTGTCCATCTGGTGATATCCAGGTACCTTTATGAATTTCTTTGTGATCAAAATAAGTGCTCATAATTCGCATATTGTGTTCGAAAGCAAATTCTATTACTCTTTTTCCATTCAGATTACTATCTCTATGTTTACTTTTTCCCCCTGTTATTTGTTTGTATACATCCTCCCTGCCAATCTTGGCATTCAAATCTCCTACAACTATTTTTATGTCATATGATGCTATTTTGTAAAACATATGTTCTAATTGTTCATAAAAGCTATCTTTAACGTCTTCATCTGTATTTTCTGTTGGTGCATGCACATTTATAAAGGTTATTTTTCTATATTTTCCTCTTATTCTTATTTTACATAATCTGCTTGTGACTGCCTCAAAATCTATCATCAGATTGGCAAATGTTTTCTTTATAAAAAATCCCACCCCAAATACACGTTCATTGTCTCCACTGTTGAAAAACACGTAGTTCCCCACATCCATGGTGAAATTTCCTTTTTGTTTAGTTTCTTGTATAGCTGCAATATCTATCTCATATTTCTCTAACGTATCTGATAAGTTCTTTAGTGCCCCTACTTCAAAAGTTCCTCTAACATTCCATTGTCCTATCATCATCCTATTCCGCGCTTTATTCGTTTCCATATTTTCCTGACCACTGTGCCTGTGTAGACTCAGTTTTTTTTCATTTTCTCTAGTTTTTCGGTACTATGGTTCCATTTAAACCATTCATCGTTTATACATATTTTCTGATAGCGGACTTTTGTTTCATTACCTTTTCCTTTTTCTTCTCTCGCCATATCTCTTAGCTCTTTCTGTAGTTTGGCTTCGGCTTGGGTTAGATCATTTTCAATGAAATACCGCGTTCCTCTTAATTTGCTCTTATTCTTCATAATAAGCTCTTTATCCTTCATTGTATCTACTTTTACTATCGCCACTGGTGGTTTCCCTTGAGAGGTTCTTATTTTCTGCACATCTTTTATTTTCACATTCACATTCAATTGACTTGCTATAAAGTTAGTGGCATCTTCCAGTTCCTCATTTTCTTTGAAATCGCGTCCTTTGATCACAATGTTTTGTTTCCGGATTTGTTTATCCATCTTTTCGATCCTGCTTTCCAGTAAATTTACCTTTTCGTTCAACTCGCGATTTTCTTTTTTTAAATTGCTAATTTCTTCTTGAAAAATCTGCTGGTCTTTTCGTATTCCTTTAACTTCGTTCATAAGAGCGATCATCATTTCTTTCAATTCGGTATTATCGCAATTTTTCTTAGGTGGAGACCTAGTTAACTTTCTGCTTTTCATGAAAGGGTTTTCATCTTGGTCGTTTTCTTTTTTTTCCTCTCTCTTTCTCTTACCATCGTCAGATTCTTCACTATCCCATTGATTTAATCCTCTTCTCGCGGCCATATTGTTAAAAATATTATAAATCTCGTACCTTATTCTGGACAGTGTTTTGACGTTAAAATTCTCACTTACACGCCTATGTATTGTTTTGTAAATAATCACTAATTATTGTCCTTATCGTGAAGGTTCCCCGTACCGCACTACTTGCCTCTTCAACAGATCGAAGCTAGCAGCGCTGATTGTTTATTTAGGTTACTCGTTATGATTTTTTAAAAAACTCGATTTAGTTCACAATTTTCTAATGACACTCGATTCACACATACACTATTTCGCAAGAAAAACACTTTGTGGATAAATAAACTCGATATTACCCGAATTTTCGAATTAAATATCGGAGCCGTTTTAAACCACGTCTTTCTCGTTCGTATACCAGTAACGGAGTCCTCAATGTTATTATATTAATATTAAATATATTAAAAGTGCATACAACATCAACTCAAGAAATCAATACCATAAATATGTCAATGATATGAAAATTTGCTGCATCACGGATTTTTTACTATTTTATCAGACGCATAAATATACTTACGGGATCGCATTCGACAGTGAGCGGCTTCATAAAATCCGCAGAGGGTTGAGGTAACGTCTTAGAGATCTTGTCATCATTTGTACTTATAGGCACTTTAAATATATCTTCAATTTCGGTATCTGTATATTCCTCACTGATCTCAGATTCTTCTTCGATCGGAACATCTTCATCACAATTGTAGCTCGAGCGCTGAATGGGGGTGTCGGCACCAGGGAGAAGAAAGCATAGTGAAGTCATTTTTTTCACAATCTGAATCAAAAGAAGTTTATTAGTTATTATAATCGACAAAAAATAATATAAAAGAGAAAACTTGAACACTTAGAGCACAAAACAAGGGGTAGCAGATACTGAAGAGAAATCTAACAGAGAGAAGTCCTTCGTATGCATGTGTTAAATTTTACAATAGTCTACCATCCGACATTCAACAGGAAACACGCTATAGAGCTTTTAAAAGAAGAGTTTTTCAACACCTCGTTAACATTGAGCAGTATACTGTGGCTGTGTTGTCAATATATATTAATATTTTTTTAATCTGTGATTAATAATGTGACGTTATTTGTTCAATTATGTTAACAAAAATTATGCAAATAAAAATTTACTCTAGTCTACTCTAAATTGGTAGGAAGAAATACTCGTGGCTCCGAAACATTCAACAATGTAGTGGCTTATCACTAGATCAATTGTTACATGCTGCAAAATATCAAAAAAATAGTCATCAAATTATCATGGAGTCTACACGAGTCCAAATCTGGGCACGGTACTCCATGGAGAAGGAAGATTGCGTAGATTATTCTCTAAATAACCAAGACCGGTAAACTCTTCAGTGTAGTAACCTCTTTACCAAGTTTTGTTATTTGATCTACCATAGCATGCAGCTGGCACTTCTGGGCATATTTTTATGTTACTTCCGCAATGTATTATTTTTTGATGTGATATAGACCCTTTTGTGATTTTTTTCCACATAAGAGAGATCAAATAATTGCATTTATACTATATCTTGTGAATGCAACAATTTTTATATAGGATACTTAAAGACCACTAAGTGAAGGATAAATGAGCATGAACCATATATTCAAAACTGATCCCAGATTTGCAAACACCACTGGGATAGTCAGCACAGAGTGCAATGGAAAATGCAACAACTGTAATGAAAGAAACAGACAACAAAAAGAGGAACATCAAAGAAGTACTCACCTGACTAAATGTGTGGATAAAAATGTGTAGCAAACACATCAATAAAATGTAACAAGTAGCTGGTTACGAATATTAAAAGAAGTTAGTAATAAAAAATACACCAACACTAAGGAGTTAATAATAGGTCAAGGCAAACCAATGATAATTAACTATAATAAGCACAGAAAGATCAGAATTTGACGTCAATCCAAGGGTTTAATAACAAAATATCACTCAAAATATGGCTAATGTCTGAAGGTCGAGGCCAAGTAAGTCAACTGTCAAATTGGTTTTACCAGTCAGTGCCAATTATAAACATTTACAGGTTAAGGTCATTAATAATTTTTATTTTAAAATAAATAATTTTTACAAACAACAATATAATATTAAAACCTCCTTTTTACCTCTTCCATGCTCGGCCTTTTTGAGGGATCCTGGTCCCAACAAGAAGTTATCAAATCTTCAACTGGTGGTGGGCAGTTCCGCAATAGCGGTGGCCTTTTTCCTTTATGTACAGCCCACATTATACTAAAGGCAGATCCACCTTGGTTGTAAAATGGTTTCTTGCGGGAAAGAACCTCCCAGAGTATGATGCCCCAGCTGAATACATCACATTTTTCAGTGTAGTTTGAAGATGTAAATACCTATAAAAAATCATTCAAAATATGAATTTATTAAAATAAAAAATCATTCATATATTGAAATTATTGATATCATTCTCCATAAGTTTCTATCTTGGGCCATACCAATGTCAATTATGTTACCAGAAGTGTTAAGTGTGTGTGTAGTAATGTAGAGAATATTCTCGGCCAGATAATTTTCGGCGAGAATTTTCTATATTTACAAAAACCGAAACAAAATAAAAACTAAGTACTACTTAGATATGGGTCAAATTACTATAATTTAAAAAATATGTATATTATATTTGCCAATTCACCTAATATATTTTTTGCATTCCAAACATTATTATTCTTGAAGCTCAAACGTAAAAAATGCACTAAGAGTGACAAAACATAGTAAAATGTGTTAAATGCCTGGCGGGTTACACACAAGACAGTTAGGTTCGTTCAATGAAGGTAAGTGAAAAATATATAAAATGATTAAAATAATTATAGGTGGTTTCTTATGGCTATATAAAATAAAAATTGCAACTAAAAACAAATTTATATTTTTTTGCTGAGGGGTTTGGCAGTTAATAATATTTTATTGAACTATTTTTGTAATCTTTTTATATTCATTTATTTATACAGGGTATTGCTTAAAGTGAGATAAACTAAAAATACTATTATTTTAAATGGGACACCGTTATATTATTTTATTTTCATATTTTACACAAAATTAAAAACTGATGTAAGATTATTTTATAATTAACTAGGTCTTGGGCGACTTGTTGTTCTATAGGGTGTTTCCTTCTTCTTCTTCTTCTTCTTCTTAAAGTGCCCTCTCCTCAATGGAGGTTGGCTACTACAATTTTAAACTCTTCTCTATCTTCAGCTGTTCTTATTAGCTGTTCAAAATTTAGCCCTGTCCATTGTCGGATGTTTCTGAGCCATGATAGTCTTTTCCTTCCTAGGCCTCTCTTTCCCTCGATTTTTCCTTTCACTATAAGTTGGGCATATTGGTACTTATTATTTCTCAGTATGTGGCCTAGGTATGATGTTTTTCTTACTTTAACTGTGTTAAAAAGTTCTCTTTCCTTGCCTATTCTATGCAGCACTTCTTCGTTTGAGGTATGCGATGTCCATGAAATTTTGAGTATTCTCCGGTAGATCCACATTTCAAAGGCCTCCAATTTATTTACGGTTGATGTTTTAAGGGTCCACGTTTCAACTGCATATAGAAGAGTCGACCAGACGTAGCATTTTGATAAACGTAGTCGAATTTCGAGTTTTATTCGAGAATCACAAAGCAGTTTTTTTTATTTTTTCGAAAGATTTTCTAGCCTGTTCTATTCTCGATCTTATTTCTTGATCAGGATTTAGGCTGCTATCGATCCAACATCCCAGGTACTTAAATCTATTGACCTGTTCTAAGATGTGCCCATTTATTGTGCAAGGTTGAGGTACGTTTTGGTTTTTTCGGATTGACATCACTTTGGTTTTTTTAATGTTTATTTTCATACCAAATTGCTCACAGGTCGAGTTGGTCTTGTCGATGAGTCGTTGTAGACCTGAGTCGGAATCCGCAATTAACACTGTATCATCGGCGTATCTGATACTGTTGATATTTACGCCATTCACCTTGACTCCATCCTTGGAATCCTCCAATGCTTCTTTAAATAGAAACTCGGAGTAAATATTAAACAGCAGAGGCGACAGAACACATCCCTGTCTAACTCCCCTCCTAATTTCTACTTCTGCGGATATGGAACCTTCGATCCTAACTCTGGCTTTTTGGTTCCAGTACAAGTTTTTTAAGAATTTGATGTCTTTTCCATCTAAACCGACTTCTTGCAAACGTTCTAATAGTAGGTCGTGTCTTACTCTATCGGTGTGTAGGGTGTTTCCAAAGTGGGTAAATAAATATAATAAATAATCCTATAAAACGTACAATATTCTAGACTGAGGCGTAGATTTTATAGGCTGTTTTATACCGGATGTTATAGATTAAAAAATGTAGTTTTGAATTGTTGATTAAAATATGTATTTTTTGTTTACAGATAAACAATATAATGACATATACACTAGGAGTACTGTTGGTGTCTCCAGCTCCATATCCACACAGTTCACACTGCGTAGTTTTGTTGACTTATCATCTAAAGAGGACCAAGAAAATTTAGATCAGCTTTTGGCTAGAGCTATTTATACAACAGGGACACCATTTGTAATTGTCAAAAATAAACACTGGCAATTGTTTTTCAAACAATTAATACCTTCTTTTAAAATGCCAACACAGTATTTACTTTCAAACAAGTTTCTAGAAGCAGAGCATGCAAGTGTCGATACAAATATTAAAGTAAAGATTGCTAAATCTACTGTTATTGGATTGCAGCTAGATGGTTGGAGTAATCGATGGAATGAGCCAATACTAAACTTTATTATCACCACTCCATATCCTGTTTTTTTATAAAACTTTATCTACAGACACTAACCGACATACAGCAGATTATATTCTGAAAAAATATGTGAAGTTTTAGAAGGAATAGGACCCCAAAAATTGCAAGCTGTAGTGACTTATAATGTACTGCCATGGTTAGGGCCAGAAACCTAATTTATACAAAGTACAAACATTTATCTGTTTATGGGCGTATTGCTCACATCTTAAATTTGTTGATTGGTGACATTTCTAAAACAAAAACAATGGCTTCTGTAGAAGAAGATAGTAAAGCCATCATTAAATAAATTAGCATCTCTCACATTTTGTCAGCCACTTATAAAATAATTCAGCTTGAAAAAAGTGAAACAAAGGTAGTACTTTTAAAAACTGCCAGAAACTCGAGAGAACTCATCAGTTCTCCCGAAACATCAAGACGAAGCAGTACTAATCTGACTTGACATTGGCAAGTGTGACCTTGCCGAAACCTCGTCAAAACAATGGTTTTTCTAAAAACCAAAACTATTTAACGCGGAGTCAAATCCGAAAAACATCTACATCTGAAATCATATATATATATATATATATATATATATATATATAAATATAAAGAACACTGTTGTTTCGTTTCATAATTTTGTATATATTTCATGATTCTTAATACCCTATTTCATCTTTAACAATAACCCTAAGCTCTTCATAGGGTTCATTATCAGAAAATTCTCCATATCGAGAATACTCTCAGATTTTTCATTCTCGAGAATTTTCGAACACTAATTTTGGCTATCAAAATAAATGCAGGGTTAAAGTTTTGCACAGGATGAAGGTTCACATTTTACAAGATACCCAACTGAAATTAAAATTTTAAATGAGGCCTACTGTGAATCTACAAACAGGGTAAATTTGTGATATTTTACTTCGCCTTAGAGATATCTATCGCCACTACCTTTGGGTAGTGGGTAGGAACTCCTTAGACAGTCCTATCAGGGAGAATGAATCATTCCCTGCCCTCCACAGATTTCAGGTGTTTCTTGACCCGGGAAACTAGTACCTGCTCAGGGTTCCTTGTCACGGATGAAGACCACAACTGCATTCAAGGCGGAGAAGGATACCTTCGGTACGGCGAGGATGGCGGAAGTGGTACCCCCTGATTTTAGGGTTAATATAAAATCAGTAGCGTCTGATCCAGAGTGGACGGCTACGAACCTCGTCTGACCCAGAGTGGGCGGCTGAATATACACTCACCAACCAGTCTGACCAGCGTGGTGTTTTATGGTCAACACCTCCCTTCTCAAATGGCGAATACAAACCCGAACGGAACTGGTCCCCAGGTAGGTGGTTCACATTGTGGCAAATCCTACACCTTATCTAATAAGGTCAGTCTCATCGGATCTGGGGGAGACATTAGTTCGTCAATATAGACAACAAAAATGTATATCTCAACTTTCAATGTAAGATCTTTGTCTAAAGACGAGAAACTCTATGAATTAGAGGAAGACTGGTACGTAAGAAGTTAAACACCTGCAATGGTACATAATCGGACCATCGGAGGTAAAAAGAAAAGGTAAAAACTGCATCACGCTAGAGTCTGGAAACATATTGTATTTTAAAGGTAGAGAAAACGAAAGTTTAGATGGAGTTGGTTATTTGATTTCGAAAAAATATGCTCATAAAATTGAGGAATACGTAGGAATAACAGAAATAATCGCTTTATTAATTATAAATATCAGCGAAAAGGTCACTTTAAAAATAATTCAGATTTATGCGCCAACATCTACACACACAGACGAAGAAATGGAAGAATTCTATGAACACCTCACAGAGTCCATGACATATCGAAACACTACATACACGATTATAATGGGCGATTTTAATGAGAACATGGGCAAAAAACTAGAAGAAAACGAAAACTGTATTGGAGAATTTGGACATGGAGTAAGAAATGAAAGAGGAGATCTACTGGTTAACTATCTAGAACACAACAAATTATTTGCCATGAACTCTTTCTTCAAGAAAAAGCCACATAGGAAATGGACATGGATGTCGCCAGATGGGAACACTAAAAATGAAATTGACTACATACTAACAAACAAAAAGAAAATTTTCGAAGACGTCACAGTAATAAACTCAATCTCTACTGGTAGTGATTAGAGAATGATACGGGCTAAAATAAGTATTAAACACAGAAAAGATCGAAGACAATATGTACACTCTAAGAAAAAAGTCCACCCAGCAAAATTAAAGGAGAATAAAGAACAATACCAAAACAAATTAAGAACAGCTGAAGAACTAAAGCTAACAGACCTAAATCTAGATCAACTAAACTAAACAAAGCCATCACTGAAGAACTTCTAAAGACTAGCTTAAAAGTAGCACCAGCAAAATCAGACAAAAAATCAAAACTAAGTGCCATATCTTTAGACATGCTACAACAACGGAGAAGCCTACTACAAGAAAATAAAAGAAATACAACTGAATACAAAACCCTTAATGCAGAAATAAGAAGACATATAAAACAAGTTAATTATTATTTATAACTGGGAATAAGCCACAATTAAAGATAAAAATACGTTTATTGACGTTTCAATTTCCAATTCGGAAATCGTTCTCA